GCGGCGTTTCCAAAACGCCGCCCGCACTTATAAGCTGCCCCAAACGGGCCCTTACTTTTTGATTTGGCCGATTAAAATGTTAAAATGTGTTGAGAAATATATGTTCCAAAACGACTATGATTTCAGCACTTATAAGCTGCCCCAAACGGGCCCTAAGACTTTGCTTAAAATGGCTTTAGATAATCTAATTAATAAAATGTGTATGATCAACTTGTACAACCCTACTTGAATTAACACTAAATCCATGACCAATTCTTTTCTATCTATATCAATATGGCAATCCATGAATAACAGGTTCATTTCTATTTTTGATTTTAAAATCAAATATTTGTTTAAAATTTGTTTCTTTTATTGATGGTTATTTCTCCTCTTATTTATGCAAAACTTTTTATCATTTTTATTACATTGAACAAGAGGATAAAATTCAGCTACAAATTTCTTATTTTTTCCCCCTTTCTCATTCTAATTTTAAAGAGTTATTGGTGATTTTACTATGCATCATTTACTTTAGCAGAACTAAGCCATTGCTATCACTTTTGTGAGTTTCTTTTGATGTATCAGTGTAGCCTTTCTTTAGTTTGACCTATGTTTCCATTTTATATCTAGTTTGTGAACTTGATACCCTCTCAAATATGTACGAGTCCGACTTAGAAATTTTTGCTTATTATAACTGCGGAAGTTGACACATTTTATACCAGTTGGTGTCTTAACACTTCAATTATCCGGTAGAGTTACTTTTTAAAATTTTTATTTAAGCTTTTTCTGATAATTGCCATGTTTTGTTCATATACTTTCAGGGATTCTTTTGTTGATTATTGGATGAAAAGGAACACTATTACTATGGATATTCCTACCCACATATTTAATATTCTGAAACGTCCAGATCGCAATTATCTTTCTCAGGTATCATTGCATTTCATGGATAATCTTTCTAACGTACCTTTATTTAGGGTTATTTCTGTTTTTATTACATAGTTATTCTAAGCAGGATCCATTTTTATTTTTACAGGAGGATTTTAAGCCTGTTTTACGAGAGCTGTTGGCAAGCCATCCAGGGTTGGAGTTTTTACAGAACACACCTGAGTTTCAAGATAGATATGGTGAGCTGCCATCTTATGTTGTAGTTTTATAGCGATCACTGACTCAGTTATTCTTTAATACGGTCTGCAAAAATCTTGTTTGTTTGGAGATGCAGTGGATATACTTTTTCTTCCTTCATGCTACTTAATAGTGTCTGATTGTTGAGGATTGGCATGATGTCTTGTGTTTCTATATACTGGGAGGCTAGGTTTTATTTGACTTTGAACACCGTATGTTTTTGTTATATTTTAGGAACATGCCAATGAAGCAAATCTTAGGGAAAAGAACATATTATTCATCTCTGATAATCATATTAGGCAAAAATTACCAACCATCAGAAACGGCCACTTCTTTTATAATGAAATTCTGAATGGAAAATTGAGTTATAATTACAAAATAGCATTTATGACTTTTAATTATTCTAGTTAACAACTTCTGGAAACCATTTAAATTGGTGTAACGTACTAGAAATAGTCTTTAGATAAGCAGTTTGTTTAGTTGCGTTGTTTTGTGATGCAGCTTTTGAATTCATCCCACAATTGTGGGCTTATTACTATTTTCATGTGTCATCTCCTTAGCGTTCATCTATTAGATTCACTCTTGAAAACAGTATATCATAGTCATCCATTTTTAAATCTACTATGAAAGTAATTTCCGAACTCTTTGAACAAAATTACAGAAAAATTTCTTGCGTATTGCACCTTGCCTTTGATCATCAACAGAGTTTTTTTCTTTTTGCGTTTTGAAATTACATAAATATCTTAATTGACTGGTTCTTGAGAAAGAGCATGCAAATAAAGCACATTCATGATGGACATCAATTTTAAGGATCATATATCAAGAATAAGGTAGTAGAAAATGGTTTTAGATGGTTTGGGCATGTATAACTTGTGAAAAGAATGGAAAATATGCTGGAAAGGCTACAAAGAAAATGGAGGTCCATGATCGTAGATACTGCCAAAAAATTGTTTTCTTCGCCTATATTGAAACTAATTGTTGCTATAAGCATGAATGAGGACTATAATGAATTCACAAATCTGCTGCTTTGCTGATGTCTTGTGATGCACCTTGAATCTGTTATGTGACAATTTAGAGCATTGAGGACTTTAATAATCAAAATTTCACAATTATCTTACTTGATTCTTCTTTTTGATTTCTGCAGCATAGCTATTGATATTGTGGGATCCTATTGTTTGGCTTTAGAAGATGCCTCATATCAATGTTTTTTAGTTGGGGCATTTAGATGCATGCCGCCCAATTCTTATGTATTTACATATCTAGCACCTAAACTTTACCTTTTACATTTATACCACCCAAATCTTTCATATCACATAAAAAAATACTGTTATTTTAATTTTAAAAAAGTGAAATAGAGCTTTTCATGCACGTATAAAGGTAGCATATATGTAAAAGTTTTAGGTGTTAGATATGTAAATACGGAAGAATTGAGTGCTATGTATGTAAATCTTCCTTTTTATTTTTATTTTAGTTTTTTTTAATATGTGCAAGGGTCTATGAATGCAAACTCTCTCTATTAGAAATTGTAACTTCCACTCTCGCATTTAGGGAGATGGTAGTTTACTGCACTTTTCGAATGCAATGAGAGCCATTGGCCTAGGCAAGGAGCCTCCCTGATCACCTTTAGTTATATTTAAGTTGATTATAATATTAAAAAAATTTATAGAAGTGTGACAAACTGACAATGAAGTGCAGAAAATGTAATCATTAAATGAGCTGAGAAAATTATTTGTCGTAGGACTAGAAAGGAAAGGGTAGACTCAGGCTATATGGATAGATGTTGTTCAAAATGATTTTTGAATAACAGGTTTAACTCGAACAAATCTTAGCAACAAGGAATGAAAAGTGAGGATTGATACTGCTGTCCCTAAATAGTAGGGACGGGTATGATGGTTTTAAGTTACATGGGACATATTTTCTTATTTTCTTCATTATCTTTTTCTGTTTTATAATATTCAATAAGATAGTGCTGCAACTCATTTCAAATTAACCTTGTAAATTGCTATTTCTGACTTGAGGTTACAAATACCTTTTGGCAGCCGAAACTGTCATATATCGAATATTTTACTATGTCAATAGATCTGGAAATGGCCATCTCACTCTTCGGGAGCTTAAGTGTGGAAATTTAATTTCTGCAATGCAGCATGCTGACGATGAGGAAGATATCAACAAAGTTTTAAGGTTCGTTTCCTGAAATGTGTTGGTATAACTATACATTATGTGAATATCTGTATACTATGTTTTCTTTAATTATTTCATGCTCCTTTTTAATTTTGCTGGCTACAGGTATTGTGACCTTGATTTATCTGTAGAAAATATAATATGATGTGCTCTGGGATTCTTATACTGTTTACTTTAGCATGGAATGTTCTTAGGATTCATGGCAAGCTGTCTTAATCTTTCACAGCTACAAAGTTTTGTTTCGTTTAAGCAGTCACTCTCCTCGAATTTTATATTTATTGTTTCCATCTTCCACGTGCCCTTTACTCAAGTTTGGCTTAGTCTCCGTTGGACCAACTAATTTTTTCTTAACTTACTATGTCTATGCCATCGCTAGAAAATAACAATAAGCCTTCAATAATCATCTCATGTGCATAAAAACCTTGTTAGCTTTTGGTGGGCTCTGAAAATTCGAAAAACACCCCAGACTCATGTCTAGTGCTCAACGTTTTGCTGAGAAGTTTCGGGTCCAATTTTCAGAAGACAGATGAGATTGTAGATGAGAAACTACCCACACCCTCATTTTGCAAGGACTTTAAGATCCAGGGTTTGAGTTTTGCTATAGGCACAACTGCTATGATTTATTACCCTTCCCGATAACGGGCGAACACTTTTGATTAAGGCTAGTCATCAGACGCCAAGTATTCAGACTTAGCATATAGTAGCAGTAGATTTGAGAATTAAAATTCTAAAAATTATCACTATGAGCCCAAAGCGGATGGTGGGGGAAATGATGACCAACACATTCAAGATCCCATGGTTCTATCATCTCTGGTTGTCATGGTCTCGGGTCTACTTAGTCAGCGGAGGTAGTCGACCAAACCTGATAAAAAGTTCCTTGTCAGCAGCCATGAGTTGCTTCATCCAAGGGGATCTTATTAAGTCGGGGTAAATGTTTGTCTAAGGAGATTAATTTAAGTCGACCTTTGCTTATAGAGGTCTTTCTGCCTTATCAAATATACCCTATGTATGATTCAATACTCAAAAAGACAGACTGTGAAAATACGGGCTACAACAGTGGTCGTAATATAATGGTGTCATTTGGCCGCAAACCACCTAGTGAGGGGACTCCGGTAGTAACCGCTTCTTTGTGGTGCCATTTGGAGGCAAAACTACGCGGACAGAGGACTCATGCCACATCCTTACAGCCATCAAATTCATTTTGAGCTTGAATTTAGTAGTATACTTGATATGATATTGATTCTTTGTGAGTTCAAGTCAATACTAGATTTGTCCGCCTTTACAAACTGTTGCGGAGGGCAGATAGATTTTTGCTTTAAGCATCAAGTGACATAATTTTTATTTGGATATTATTTTTATAATTTAAAATATTTAAATTTTATAGATGAAACCCGTCCGGTTGAAATTTACGATCAATACAACCATCACTGGGGTAGTGATTGGTTAAACATTGGTAAGAGCAATAGTCCTGTCAGCTCTAGTCCTTGTAAGGAGGAGGATTGGACTGGCTCAGTGGAGGCTCAATCCTATCGACTTTTTTCTACATAGGGAGGAGGAGCATATTGGTCCAACAGGGGCTCAATCTTGTCGACTTCGGTTCATGTAAGAAGGAGAACTAGGTTGGCCAAAATGTGGGATTTACAACCTTGTTCTAAAGGTGAGGCGACCCGCTGCCTTGCACAACGTTCTCTGACGTAGAATTTTAAAAACTTAGGATCATCGACGGAGCACATGCGTTTATTTTATTTTTTTGGGTTGAGATTTTTAAATAATTTTGCATGTATTTCAAGGTAGATTAGTTCTTAAGAGAACTTGTGTTTGAGATTTTAGCACATTGGTCGGAGTACATGCAAGAATTTCATATTTGTCAATTTTGACTGACTTTTAGGGGGGGTTATTGTTATTTGCACAAACGTGTTCTTATTAGAATTTGTGCAAATTTTTTCATTAAAGCTTTTAGTTTTGTCTTTTGTCCGCTTGTGTATTTGGGGTTGCAGATTCAGTTGCGAGTATGTGCAAAGCTTCACTTCGAGCCCCCTTAATATTGTCTTCTGTCTGCTTTTAGATGCTTGTTGCAGATCCGATGACGAAGAAAAATGTTTTAGAGTTTGATTGTATATTTGGAAATATGTATATCTCGCATACTTAGCTTGTATTTCAGTGTTCAGGTGGACTCTCCACATGTTTCATTTGATTTCGTTGACGAGTCGTTGAGTCCCTGTGAGTCCTGCATGTTCTATTTATATTTAATGCGTTGTTTAAAATGATTTATGTGATCATTTGTCTTTAGTATGTAGCTTTGGAGCTTTCGTTCATATTGCATTTTGATCCAAATGAATTTAATTTAGCTGCTCTCTTATGATTGACACAACAACAACAACAACAACAAAGCCTTAATCCCACTACGTGGGGTCGGCTACATGAATCCTTTTTCTCCATTGCGTCCTATTTAGTGTCATATTTTCATTTAGTTCTAGTAAATTAAGATCATTTTTAATACAATAAGCCCAAGTCTTCCTAGGTCTACCTCTGCCTTTCTTAACACAAGTCGAATTTAAAACATCTACTCTCCTAATCAGA